CAGACCAGTACTGAATCCCCTGCGATACGTGGCACGGTCGCCGCGTCTATCTAGCCCTTAAGCGGAAAACCACTTAGTGAATCAGGTAACTCGTGCTTGTTTTACAGGAAGCCAAGGAGGATTCAACTTCCCGACTCATCTTCCGATCAGCCGAGAAGTCAGGGGCAACTGTTGGGACCAATTTTACCGGGTCGAGAAAAGGCTCGACACATGGACCTAGACTGCGCAAACACTGACACACACCATGCTAGCTCGGCTGAACCACTCCCGTGTACTGTTCGAGGGCAGTTGCGAGCTTCCCCGAACATGCTAGAATCATTACCCTTACATGTTCTCTTGTCGTGCTGGATGGAAAAGACAGGACAAGGAGGCTGCGAGTATAAATAAGAGAGGATTGATCGTATCAGACAAGAAAGAAAAGAAGAGAGAAAAGGGAGGACTGATCGGATCGGAAAAACCCCTATATAAGAGGAGGTAACTACTAGCATCTAAGTCAGTCAGCTCGGGCAAGCAGCATGATCACGAGTGAACTCCATGTTTTTTCCAGGTGAATGCCTTCCAGGTTAAGCCACCCCTGACCCGGAACCTCGCCTTCATACTCGCTGCATCTTCTTTTATCATATAGAAACTCCTTCAAAACACTCGGAAACGGATAGAAGCTTCGATCTCCGGACGATACTTCTCACACTAACCCGTAGAAATCTCCCCTCCTGTCCGGTAGGACGTCCACTAACTTGGGCGTCGGAGAACCTTTAGGAGGGAAACCCCCTTTCGGTCCTCCCGGAGGCCCATCTGACCATTCCTTGAGTGTTTGCAGGATTCACCATGACGACTGACCCTCCATCCTGGCTCGAAGGCTTCTGCCCCGGAATGACTCGCCGCATTTCCCCCAGAGGACAAAACTCGGAGGCTCAGCTCCATCTCCCCGACGAATCGTATACCCCCACGTGACATTCCGAAATTTGCTCCCGAACACTCGTTACATCATTTTTTATTATATATTTTTTCTGTAGTATTTTTTAAAAATATCAAATTTTTATCATAATTCTTTGTTTCTAACTTTTCAATAAATGTATAGTTTTATAAAAAATTTTGAAAGATTGCCTCGATATTTATTTTTTACTTTACACTTTTGTGCGAATACAAATTTTTAATAATTATACAAATAGAAAATTGCATATTTATATTATATATTTATATTGTATATTTTTATATATACCTTTTTAACAATCTTAAAAGTTGTGTATCTTATTACTTTTCAGTTTTTTATTTTAATTAGTAATAACAATTCTTGAAAATTTTGTGAAATTTTACATATTTTTATTATAATTAGTTTGTATATTTCCATTTAGAACTTATTATTAATAATTATAAAAAAACATGAAAGATACATTTTCATTTTAATAATTATAAGTCGTTATGAATGTTTACATTTTTATTATATATATTTTACTTGTAATTATTTTAAATAAATTTTTTCTTAATCTTTAATATAAAGCAGATTAACCCCACAAAATGGGGTTCCTATTCCTAGTTATAATAAGAACAATTTTCATATTTACCATGAAAAGAAGTTTTCAGGACAGAAATAATAGAGAAGTTAAAAGAATTCATTGAATCTTTCTAATTTTTCTTTTTAGGAAGGTCTTCGTGAATGTTTTTTTCTGTTATTATTTCGTGATTTTTTAGGAAGGTCTTCTAAACACCAAAATTCAACATCGTTTCATATGATTTAGGAAAAAATTTTAAAAATTTTGAATTATAGAAGAGCTTTCTGAATTGATGAATGACTTCCTGGATTTTAGTTGTTGTATAAATTAACAAAAACAAAACCAATTATATGATTTATAAAGGAGTTCATAAATACATATACTAGCTTCTTTAATAAATACGTTTTAGGAAAGTCTTCCTAAAAGTTTAGAAATATCTTCTTAAATTTACTTTTATCTCTTTCCTCACTTCTGCCACACTCAAATCATAATTTCCTCTAATTTCCTTTTTTTATCATTTTTGTTGTTCTAGCTTGGATTTCTTGAGATTTTCACCTAATTATGTCAGATCTATCTTTCACTATATGATTTTGAACGGGAAATCTCGTGAAGTGAACAACGATTCGGTTACATCAATGCTTAATGGGAAATCTCTGTTGTTTCTCCAATTTGATGACAAGATTTCATCGTAGACTTGATCGGAATCGATGCTAATCAGAGATCCGATCTCACACAGTACAGCGATGATAATGAAACAGAAAAAAAAAAAATCGACAATTTCTTTATTTATTCAAAGTAAAAAAGTCAAAACATTAATGAAATATGTTAGGGAAATAGTGTTTTAGCGTGTTAGTGTATGAAGAACAATTTGTTTATATGATATCTGAAGGACTTTTTCTTATACTAATCGCTAATATCATTTTTTCTAACAATATGTTTTTGAATATTTCTAACAACAACATATCCTAATAACCCTAGTAGTCTCGCAGATATACACTTCCTTATTATTTGTAACGTAATCCCTTTCTTAATCCATACTTAACTCAACTATTATGCAACTTATACCTTTTCCGCTTCTTATTTTGTCGTTCAAACAATCATTCCGTTTTTTTTGGGTTAAAAACTTAAAATATAGTTTTGAAGCTATTATGATGATATAATAGTTATAAACTTATAATACAAGAAACGAAATCGTTTTTATCCTTTCTTCTTTATTTGTTTGTTTCTATAACTGAGGCAAAGACTGAATTGTTTTGATGTAAGCGAAATTCCAAATAAAAAAAAGAGTTGAATCCTTTAAGAAATCTAAATTTTTAAAAATGTATGATGTATAGTTAGCGGTAGTGTTATGTTAACAAGTATATAGACTGTATTCAATATGTCAATATGAACACATAAATATAAATTAGGTTAATGATGGAGACATTCCTCCACACATATTGCTTCTCTTAAGTCGTCACTCATGTATATACGTATCTTCTTTATTCCTATTAATTTATTGCGTTGTTTAGAATTTTGATTGTCTAAACGTTTTACGTGTTTATATATAATGTTTGCTTATACACTTTACAAGTTTTTTGCCAACTATATTTTGCACACTGCAAAATATAAATAAACACAGATAGAGATAAAAACATTGAACAAACATATTTTTCCTTTGCGTTTGTACATGATTAATATAATAAAAATACCAAATTTATGATAAATTATAATCTTATGATGACTCGTCTAGATAGGCCTGGGCACGGAGCGGATATCCGGAATTTTAGTGATATCCGTGATCCGCTCCGCCCTGTACGGATCAACAATTTTTTCCGTATTTGCTCCGTTACTAATCGGATATCCGGTATTTGGATATCCGTTAAAATCCAGATTTTTGACCGGATATCCGATCTGTTTCAAAAATATTAGATTAATTATAAAATAATTAAAATATTTATAAAATAAATAAAATTATTTATAAAAATAATTAAAAAGTCAAAAATTAACTCATATATTAAATTTTAAATTATTCTTATTAAAATTTATTAAAATTTCGTATTAAAATAACTGATAAAATAAATATAAATTCACAAAAATTTATATATAATTATATTAACTATACATTCTATATGTAATTATTTATATATATACACATATGTATATGTATATCAGAGCGGATCGGATATCCGGCTCTTAGAATTTTAATATTTGTGATTTGCTCCGTTTTTAACGGATATCAAAATTTAGTATTTGCTTTGCTCCGTAAAGCTACGGATATCCAGATTTTTCGAATCGAATCGAAGCAAATAGCAGATCGAATCAAATATAACGGATAATTTGCCCAGCCCTACGTCTAGACATGCAAGTGGCCTTTATAAAGAAAGACACATAATTCATAGTTGAAATAAAACATTAGTTGTAAGAACCCGAAGAAAATCAACACATGATTATGAAAATTCTAGCATGGATTCATTATCATGTCTGAACTCGGAACAAGAAATAAAAACAAATTTACTTCGTGACGATTTGATAAGTGACGACTATATAAAGATAGAAAAACAAATATATATATTATAAAACGCATATTTCTTAAATATTTATCTATATTCAAATATTTATTAAAACTTTGGAATTGTTTTCTTTAATTAAGAGGCATACGAAAAAACACTCTTCCTTCTTGGAACATGACCCATCATCTAATCATTTTTTTTCTCATCTGAATAATTTATCATGCATCTCATTATCCTTACGATCTTTGTATTTTTATTTTAGTTTGCATACATGAAGGGTACACCTGATTTTGTCCGTATTAAGCTTTTGTTTGATTCGTACTCCATTCATGAAATGGACGTCTACATATACGTAAATTGTTATATTATCTACTAGATATAGATTCCATGTCTAGTGTTTAAGGTTCTTTTCTCCTCGATCTCTGTTAATTGTTTTAAGGTTCATCATCTATATATATTCTTATAAGACAACATAGTTTTAGCTAGCGAGTGTTTAAGTATATATAAATTATAACATGCCTAATATAATTACTTATCTTGAAGATAGATGGATGTCATCTAAAGCAAGTTAACAAATAAAAACTACAGAGTAATTTGTTTCTATATCATTAAATTTAAAAGTGATCACTTTTCAATTTATTTGCAGTTAGTTTGAACTATATGTCATCTATAAATCGAGTTGTTATACTCCTTATTTTGGTCCATTGATGGAGGTTATATAAATAAATAATAATACTTTCAAATGGTTATAAGTAAACTTAGATCAAAACATACGTAATTTGTAAATACTTTATACTAACTATTTTGTTGCTTTTTTATGCTTTTTGAATTTTGGATCGTAATCAGTTTAAAAACCTGGCGGTCAACTAAAATTAAAGACAGATGTCACAGATCATTACAATACAAGTCTCAATTAGACTGCGAGATACTAACCGATCTGTATATATCTTTTTCTTTCTTTTTATGGTTTCTTTCTTTATTGAATTATATTCTCTTCCGGCTCCTTCAAGTTTTTGACCTTTCCAAGACTGCAAGACATCTTACATACCTTCGAGCATATTCATATTCATTCTCGCGCAGAGATATAAAGCTCGCACACACACATATTATATAAACACATGATTCCTGAATATGATGTCATTGTAAGCATGTATATATAAGAGCTGCATGTGCGATATCATCGATCATCGCCATCACTTTAATGAGAATGTAAACATGTGTTTTTGAAGCCGATATAGTCTTCTTCCTCCTTCAAGAACTTTCTTTCCAAGGTACTACTTATCTCTAATTCTTGATTTCTCCTTCACCTCTCTCGCTTTCTGCAAATTAACATGAAGAAACATTGATCTATGACTATTAATCAAACGAGTTATGTTTGTTTAGATATATGGGGGGGGGGGGGGGGGGGGGGGGGGGGGGGGGGGGGGGGGGTTGGTAAAATATTAAATTTTATACCATTTTTGAATTAGATATATATAAACTTTGACCTCTTTTGTTTCATTTCCTCATATATCATCTGCCAAAGTCGATCAGAAATTTTATGTTGTAGTTAGTATTATGTTTGATTAACGAACTGTGTTTCTTTTTCTTGTTTTTGAACATTCATGTGTTTCTTTTCTTGTACTGAAGATTCTTCTTTTACAACACACTTAATTGCATCCAAATGATCCCACATCGGATGCTATTGTCAGAACTTTGAATGATACAATCTTAAACAATTAATTATATCGTTTGTTTACAGTTTTACGTTCTTTCTTAAAGATTTTGAGTATGAAGGATCACTCTTACGTTATAGATATTTTAAGAAAAATATAAAACATAATATTCAAACTAGCTATTAAACGCAAACAATTACAGAAGTGCAAATTTTCTAAAATAATGTTTAAAAAATATAACCCCGATCCGTACTTTATATTCGATAAAATAGTAATTTTCATCATACATAGTTATGATTTTCCTATCAAACTACGGCTTTTCCGTGCTTTGTTATTTCCTTTACATGTGAGAAAGTCCAATAAAATCGTAGATAGTTGCAAGTAGATTTACCTAGCAAGGCAACTTACACATAGCCCAATAATTACTTTAGAGACAAAATAATTTATAGTATCATTATATCAAATTATGATCAAACTCGCCAAAATTTCCAAAATAAGTCAATAACTTAACTTGTAACCAATGGTCACTAACAGCTTTGAGTTTGAGTATTTTTTTTTTTTGGTAGATGCTAGGAGGCGATAGCTTTGAGTTTGAGTATGATTAGGACATACTCTTCCCTTTTCGTCTAAAACATGTTTTATAATAAATAAATAAAAACTAAATCCCCCACACACATTTTTTTTACTCTATTCTCTTTTGTACGTGTTTTTATTACTCTATTAATATAATCACACAACTTTTATTCCAAACATAATGGTCCCATCATAAATGTCAAATGCTCTTTGTTCCATTTGCAACTTCAACACGAGACATATTATTCGCTTTTCAAAAAAAACATGAGACATATTATTGGTGGGTCCTTCGCTTAATATGTTTCTAATATATGCCCTAATCTATAAGCTGATTTTATTTTTATTTTAAGCTCATACCCTCCTCAAGATCAGAAATTATATGAACGCCAGTTTTAGCCTAAGGTAAATCATTGTTTATATACAACATTAATTTTCTTAAAGCAAAATATTTTATATTTAAATTAAAACATATTCCCCTTTAACGAAAAGAAATTAAAACGTTTGCTTGCACTTACACGCATACACCTATAAATACACGAGATCGATAGACGACACTGTCTACTTTCTGTGTGTGATAGGTTTTTGCTGACACGTTATGAAGACAAAAAAAACAAATGGGCCCACCACTGGATTTTTTTGTCTTGTTGCAAAAGTCGTCCCAAAATTTGGTGGGCCTCAAAGCCCACTGTTTACTCCAGACGGATCATTCCTTCATTAAGTTGCTTGGTTAACAATTATTAACGCTTAGTAAGATTAATCGCACTGAGATTATTGGATTAATGATTGGTGATTAATATTGTATAGTTGTTGTTGTTGTTTTCTTCTGCGACAGTTTCTCAAGTCGTCTCTTGGGTTTTCACAAGTCAAAGCTGAGTAAGACGTTAGCGACGACTCTTCTCGCCGGCGGCCGCCGTGTACGGCGGAATTTTTGTTAGCTATGTCCCGCATTTCAGCCACTTCGACCACTCCTTCCCGCGTGAGAACCGCCAATTCGCAGTACTCAGTCATTTCTAGACCTAGAGCCCAAGACGACAACGGTAAACCGAAATCCTCCGGTCACGATGTGAAGAGCGATCCCGCTAAGAACCGGCGATCAATTCTGCTTAAGAGAGCAAAATACGGCGAGGAGGAGACGGCGGTTTTGGCTCCTCAGAGAGCTCGGTCTGTGAGTCGTCCGGCGGTGGTTGAGCAATTCGGTTGTCCGAGGCGGCAGATTTCTAGGAAGAGCGAAGAGGCGGCAATGGCTGCTGCTGCGGCGGCGGAGGAGGAGGATGAGAAGAGGAAGAAGATGGCGGAGTTGGAGGAGAAGCTTGTAGTGAACGAGTCGCTGATTAAGGATTTGCAGGCGCAGGTTTTGAGTTTGAAAACGGAGCTAGAGGAAGCTCGTAACTCAAATGCAGAGCTGGAGTTGAAGAACAGGAAGCTTTCTCAGGATCTTGCTTCATCCGAAGCGAAGATCTCGTCGCTTTCCTCTAATGAGAAGGTAACAGTTTCAATTCTCTTCCATTAATTGAGAAGATTAGGAGAGAAATTTCACAGTTGTATTGACTTGATGAGACTACGGAATCAGAATTGCATTTGGTTGTTTCTTTGATTCTGCTTCTGCTTCTGCATCTGCATACAGTTTAGGCTTATGATCGCTTATGTTTTTGGTTGATTCAGCCAGCTAAAGAACACCAGAACACACGATTTAAAGATATCCAGAGATTAATCGCTAGCAAATTGGAGCAATCCAAGGTTAAAAAGGACGTAGTTGTAGTAGAATCGTCAAGCTCCATTAAACAAAGATCATCTCCTTCACCTTCAAGATTACCTACATCGCCGCCGTTTCCAAAGTTTTTGGTATCTCCTTCAGGTAAAAGAGACGAAGCTTCTTCTTCACCCATTGCACCACCAACACCACCGCCTCCGCCTCCTCCGCCACCACCTAGACCACTCGCCAAAGCATCTCGCGCTCAGAAGTCACCTCCAGTTTCACAGCTGTTTCAGTTGTTGAAGAAGCAAGATAACAGTAAGAACCTCTCGCCTTCTGTTAGTGGAAACAAACCTCAAGTTAACAGTGCTCACAACAGTATAGTCGGAGAAATTCAAAACCGTTCCGCTCACCTTATCGCTGTAAGCAACCAAAATTTCCATTTCTTGACTCTGTTTGCCTTAGCCATTCTTATCCATTTGTATTCCACAGATAAAAGCAGACATTGAGACAAAAGGGGATTTTATCAATGATCTTATCCAAAAAGTTCTGACCACTTGTTTCTCGGATATGGAAGATGTCATGAAATTTGTTGATTGGCTTGATAAAGAACTTGCAACTCTGGTAACTCCTACTTCCTCTTTTAACACTATTTCTTCACATTAAAAACCAAAGTCATGGTCTTGGTTTACAATCACTGTCTCTTGAGACCATAGTGCATCACTTAGTCATATAAATGATCGTTTTATCCAAAACTTGTACAGGCTGATGAGCGAGCTGTGCTAAAGCATTTCAAGTGGCCTGAGAGGAAAGCCGATGCCTTGCAAGAGGCTGCAGTTGAGTACCGTGAGCTAAAGAAACTCGAAAAAGAACTTTCTTCCTACTCCGATGACCCGAGCGTTCACTACGGTGTTGCCCTGAAGAAAATGGTCAACTTACTAGACAAGTAAACAAAAACATGTCCCTTACTTTTGATCCTCACTGATTAAAAAAAACGTTTTTTTTAAGATTCCCCAAAATGTTGAATTAACGTTACTATTCTGGTTATGATAAAGGTCGGAGCAGAGGATAAGGAGGCTAGTCAGATTACGTGGCTCGTCCATGCGTTTGTACCAAGACTTTAAAATCCCAGTCGAGTGGATGCTTGACTCGGGAATGATGAGTAAGGTATGTTTTTAATACTTTGTTCTGGCGCTTTAAGTAATTCACCGGTTACACTCTGTTTCTCTTTTAACATTGTTTGTAATCCCGTTGATAGATTAAAAAAGCATCGATCAAGCTTGCTAAAACCTACATGAATAGAGTTGCGAACGAGCTAGAATCAGCTCGTAACTTGGATAGAGAGTCTACTCAAGAAGCTTTGCTTCTTCAAGGAGTCCGGTTCGCTTACAGAACGCACCAGGTAAATCCTAAACTTCAAATATAAAAAGCATTGGTTCGGACATTAATGCTCCATGCTTGATCTTTACACATTACAATGTTTATTCAGTTTGCGGGAGGGCTCGATCCAGAGACATTATGTGCATTAGAAGAGATAAAGCAACGTGTTCCGAGTCATCTCCGTCTGGCACGGGGGAATTCGGCCGGAGCTCCGTCGTAGAAAAGTAACCAGAGAAATGTGAGGGATATGGCATTTGGTTTTTGGTTATAAAATTCGTTTTAGTGTTTGTTGAGTCAGTCAGTGAGTACATGTTGTGTGTCCCACGCCACGTAATAATAATGTTAAATGTATCTATAAAATGTGCCTCCAATGAAATTACTTTATACAGAAATTATACATTTTCTTCTTGACTTTCGTATAAAATATTCCTCGAATTTACCGATTCCATGGGAGTAATAATGTCCACTTCATCGAATCTTTATCGAATTTGGGGATTAGTTTCGAAAAAGCATCTTATCTTCTTATCAACGCCAAGTTCATGAGGCGTAAAAGAGCTTGGGGTTAAAAAGGAAGTAATAAAAGATCCGACGGCTGAGGGAGTTAATATTGATTTAGGATGAAAAGAGATTACAAATCGAACGGCTGAAAAGGCGTTTGATGAGATAACGTATAAAGTGAAAGGTGGCGTGATTTCACCCACTTGATTACCACCCAATACCTAACTTAAAATCTATGCGATTTTTGGAATTAGGTAATAAATATTTACAATTCAGTTTGTTATTCATCTTATTATTTTGGTTGAAGTAAATATATTTGCTTTAAACGATAAATATTTAAATCATAACTAAAAATATTTAAATACAAATCATATCTAAATATATTAGGATCAAAAAGTACAATAGCCAACTGTAGTGGTAAACTCGTTTTTGATATTAAAAATACATTTTATTGTTCACAAAATATATTCCGTACGTGGCAAAAATTGCATTAGATTCTCCACGTGGCGATCTGACATGTACTCCTGTCCTAATTTTAATCCGTTGATTTCCACAAATGTTTAAATCAACGGCTTAGATTCATTACCTGGCGCGTGTCCAAAGCGCGGGAAAGTGTGGAAATCTCACGACCACAGGTGGTGAGCCTAGTGCAACTCACGACACCTTTAACCCAATCAAAACACGCCACGTCAGCAATCACTGTTTGTTTCTCTCTTGTCAAAAGACCTGGAAATCTGCCTTTAACAAGGAACAGCCTTAAGGATTTCGTATATCTAACGATCGCTTAAGGCTCACGTTAAGTTCATTGGTTTCTATCTTTTGAAATTCGAGACAATCATCTAAGTTTTTTTAGACAAGAGATATGGAAGTTTCCGGCGTCGTTCTCCGACAGATTCCGTCTGTTTCAGGCTCCGTTGCCGTTGGCCGTTACTCCGGTCTCCGATCGGTGTCTGAATTTTCCGGCAATTCACGGGCGGTGTGGTTTCGAAACCGGACATTTCGCGGGATTATGTGCAATAACGAGTTTGCGGATAAAGGGCACATGAATTACTATTTTGAGCCGACGAGATGCGGCGACGGAGAGAAGGAGAAGATTAAGGTTTTGGAGAAAGAGAAGAAGGCGATGAAGAAGAAAGCGAAGGTTCTCAAAAGTCTTTCTAAGAACTTAAACATGTTCTCAAGCATAGGGTTTGGTCTTGATCCAGAGGCCGGTTTAGTTTCTGAGATTCAGAACAAGACGATTTCGGTAAGAATTTGAAACTATTTAGGTAAATTCAACATAGAATTCGAACGATCTCGTATGTAATTTGACTATTTCATGATGGAATTGATCGAATTGATGAGCTAAACTGGATCTTGATTTGTTTATGATTTACACAGGAAGCAACAGAGATTTTGGTTAAGCAACTGGAGCAATTGAAAGCAGAGGAGAAACTATTGAAGAAACAGAGGAAAGAAGAAAAGGCAAAAGCTAAAGCTATGAAGATGATGACTGAAATGGACTCTGAATCATCTTCTTCGTCTGAATCAAGTGACAGTGATTGCGACAAAGGAAAAGTCGTTGACATGAGCTCTCTCAGAAACAAGGCTAAACCGATTCTTGATCCGTTACAGTCAGAATCTACAGTAGCAACACTGCCTAGAATCCAAGAGACTCTGATTCCTAATAAGCTCGAAGAAGATTCACGTTCTTGCAAGAACACCGTCGAAGCTTTGCAGCTTGCTCTGCTTCAAACATCCACAGTCTTTCCTTCAATCCCCAATCCTGGACAGACATTGAAGACGATAGAAGCAGTTCCAGTGGTTGGATTGCCGTTGAAGAGAGTAGAAGTTTGCATGGGAGGAAAGTGTAAGAAATCAGGAGGAGCTGTGTTGTTGGACGCGTTTCAAAAGGCGATGACGGGCATGCAAGGATCTGCTGTGGCTTGTAAGTGCATGGGGAAGTGTCGAGATGGTCCAAACGTTGGAGTCGTGAACGAGACTGATGCTGTGGTGGTGACTGATTCGGTTAGGACACCTTCAAAGACCGTTTGTTTAGGAGTTGGGTTGCAAGATGTGGAAACTATTGTCACTAGTTTCTTTGATGAAGAATGTAGCAGAGAAGGACTTGGTTATGTCTCACATTGAAAGTGTATTTTAAATTACCAAAGTTATATATATAGTGTGATGGTTTCTCTCATTGTACATATCTGCCTTCATATGCATCTTTATGTATTTTGATCTTGACAAAGAAACTCTGTTGCGAGAGGATCTGTAAAGATCAACTTAAGCAAAAAGCCTAACGACCAAATTGTATTGAAGCATGTTAATTGTTTGCACTACTAAAAACTATTACAAATGATCATTTTGCCCTATATATCATGTGTTTGTGCTAGCAACAAAAATCAGTTTCTGGGAACTTTGGGCCTGGAAGGATGTTCTTCGGCGTCGTCATCTAATCGGTTGCAGCGCTTCAAGAACGGGTGTAGAGTTTGCTGCTTAGAGGGGCTGTTTCTTGGTTTCGTTGGGCTGCTCATCACATGACTAGACGAAACCTCCAAAGCATTCTCTTGCCCATCAAGCATCTGTGTTGCAGATAGCTCACAAGTTTTAGTCTCCAAAGATAATCACAATAATGGATATGTATGTCACACTAAGACATAGAGAATGAGAATACCTGTCCTAGATTCTCCAGCTTGCTCTGAACAACATCCCTGTACAGAAAAGTGAGCAAGTTTAGCGTAACTGATCTGGGATAAACAAAAGTTGAGATCTTCATTGAAATTTCAACTGTAGATGCGAATGAGAAAGAACCAGATGATGTCGTCAACAGTGTCATTTGCTAGAAGGTAGTGAATGTTAACTGAAGAGACCTGTAGAAACGAAGCAAAAGCCATAGAAAGGGTTTAAAGATGACACTGCAAATGATGAATGGTGACTCCACTAGACTATCGTTCATGACTCACTTGACCGATCCTATGTGCACGATCTTCTGCCTGTATCAGGTCACCCGGAGTCCATGCCAACTCCGCAAAGATAACAGTGCTCGCTGCTGTCAAAGTTATCCCAACACCAGCAGCTCGTATTGACAGCTGCAAAACAACAAAATGATAAGGACTAAGATCTATACATACAATGAAAATATCCATTCTAAAAGTCAATTCTTCACTTGTATTATACAGTTTCAGGAAAATCAACCAATAAATATCAAGTATGTATCTCAGGCTAGTAAGCTCTGTCCACAAACTCTGTTTTAAAGATGGTAAAAATACTTACCACTGCTGCTTTTATCTCATCATTCCCCTGAAAGTCAGAAACCAAAGCTTGTCTAGAGGAGGCAGGTGTGTTTCCATCAATCCGGATGCAGCCCACTTTCTTTTTCTGCAATTTTTCATTTGTCACTCGTATGAGAAAGAGAAACAGAGGGGCTTTTGGGAAGGCGTTTCTGAGAGTTTAATGGCTTACTTTAAGAAACTGGTGTAATGCCTCAAGCATGGACTGATGATGTGCAAATACTAGAAATTTGCAGCCAGCCTGCATCACAGCGCTCATAGAGAAATTACAAGAACAGGTATCAGACAAGTATGATAAAATTTTCAAAACAGCTTATTGCTAATAGTGTTGGTACCTCAAGCACGGTTCCCAGATAATCAAGCACTGCTGGGATTTTGGCTTCAGCGGAATCGGTGTAGATCTAAAAATACAAATGAGAAGATGTTACAATACACTACTAGGAAATAACAAGCAGGTCCACTGTTGTTACAATGGAATTCACTGGCTGTGAAGGAATGTAATTTGGAAAAAGCAAATCTATACCTTGTTGATAAGCTGTTTCTCTGTAAATTTAAGAGATTTAATGTCTTCTTCCGATGTGCAATCCTTTATTTTGGCCTTTACCACTTTCAACTGTAAAAGTGATAACAAAGACCATTCCTTTTCTTAAAAACTGTTGCTTCAAGGAAAGATAAAATGCATGGATATTGAAATCTACACAAAGTTACCTCATGAAACAAAGCATTGATTTGCCTCAAGTCCTTCTCCGCTAGATCTAGGAAGACCTATTAACACAAAAATAGAAATAAAAATGTCACAGGAAATCAATATCAAGCAGTAAAAGATCACAATAGATGCATGGACACTAGAGAAAGAGCTACTACTAATAACCTGCTGTCTTCGCTTTGACGGAAGTTCAGACAAGACATCCTTTTTAAGTCTTCGAATCATTACTGTTGCCTTCATCAAATTGTGCAACTCATCATGATTGCTTGCGCCTTGATATGTTCCGAAAAATCCCTGAAATTTAAACGGAAAAATATAAAATTGTATGATGCACAGTAACAACCCCTACATGAAACTTTAGGCAGTTTCTCAGTGTCCAATGAACTTACGCCTTTGCAGTATCTGTTACCGTATTCATGAACATTCCTATAAACATCTGGGTATAGAGCTTCCAGCTGCCAGGAAATAAGAACGAAGATTTTTAAGTCATAATCAAATCACATCAAGAGATTCACACGCCCCTCACAAATCCAAACCCAAATAAAATTAGAAAAAAGCGGCAGTGGTGAAATAGATTGGATCACCTGTTTGAATAGCTCTATTGGTCTAGATAGAGCAGGAGTTCCACTCAGCAGGATTGCATATTGAGCTTTCTAAAACAAATGGCATGGATTTTATTAATAGAATAAAAACAACCAAGAGAATATTACTCATTAACAATGTAACAAAAGTTTTACAGTTGCACCAAGAAGAAACTTATTTTCCATCTGTCAGCAGATAACCAAAAACTAGCTTTATAGACAAAACGATGAGTGGATGATATATCAATATACCTTAATGACTGGAAGGGAAGCAGTTGTCCTCTTTGCTTGAGCGCTTTTAAGAAAGTGTGATTCGTCTGCTATAACAACCTGCAAAGAAGGACAAGTACATAGTGAAAACCCTAAATGTTTGAGACGAACATAAAAGCTAATTCATATATGCCTCCTTCCTCTCCATTCCTTATTTTAGCGTCTCCACGTCAATTTCAAGAATCTCACTCTCATGATCATTATAAATCAACAAGTCAGGAACAATCAACCGAAAATTACTACGAAGCAATACCTTAAAGTCCAACGCCATTAAGAGTTTGTCCAGTTTGGTGACCATGTCATACGAGATAATGTTGAAGACACCATCAAGATGGATTGTGCCCTTTCTATTTGAGGAAACTATAGTAAATCCGCTTTTGTTTGATCCACCTGCCTGAGGTAAAGCTACCTACTAAGGGATAACTTACATGAGAGACCAAAATATAGAGAATGGCTCCTAGTTACTAAATATTATACAAGCACTAAACTACATACAACTATGTCTGACGGAGGAACATGCAGCCATTGGTGAATCATCTGCAAGAAAGCAACATAGTGAATCATCTTAAGTGACAATACACAAGGTCCAAATAAAATTCATACAAAGATCATGAGCTTACCGTTGCCCAATGTAAACGTAACGAAGATGGTGCAATAATCAGAACTGGCCAAGATTCACGAACGCATGTGGTCACGGCAATTGCCTGCACAGACAATGGGGATGTGAATCATGACAAGACTCTCCAGAATTAGCTTCTTGCTGGTTTTGCAAGGAGCCATACTTGTGAGGAGAAATTTTATGATAAGTGTCTGAAAACGTCATATACACTGAACAGGTGACTAAATATATCTTGTCCCATGAACGGAGAGTGAGATTCCCATAAAGAGATGAAAGGATATATTGAGGCATATGAAACAGATGACAACTTGCCTGCAAAGTCTTTCCAAGACCCATTTCATCTGCTAGAAGCACACGCCCTCCGTGCTGCAGAATAAACCTTACGAGAAAGGCAGAAGCAAATAAGAAGGCAAAGGAAACAGTTATCAGTCAGGCAAAAGGCAAATAAGTTGCTGCTATCATTTGATGATAATGAAGAAGACTACGTGTCGCTGACATACTCTATGCCATCTCGCTGAAAAGGAAGAAGCTTTGGCTCAATGTGACTTGGTATCTTGTCATACAGATCTACGACAGTGAGGAAAAGAGTCAGTAAGACATAAAAATCCCATAAATGGAGTCCTCCAAAACAGCAACACATCTTTAGTTAAGATCACTTCATTAATTTGTCTAAAGTAATAAACCGGATGCCTGACTTACGCCGTAGATCTGGAACACTTGAAGCAGCAGCTATTGCTCGTTGCACGAGAGGATCTAAGTTCTCTATCTGATAATTCAGAAAGAAAAATAAATGGCAATGTACCTAAGAGACGCTGGACCTCTAGTTTAATCTGAGCTTTCCGAACTAGTTTCAAAGAATCAAGATGGCTTACCTCAACTTTAACGCCGGAAACGTCTTGTAGAATTTTTTCTGCTGATGACAATGAAGATTGAGGAAACACCCATAACCTGTATTAGTAAACAAGGCGTTACGAGCCAAGGATTTTGTTTACAGATCACAACAAAGCACGTCAAAAAAAAAAATCAAAGAGTATGTATACAAGGAGAAAAAAAAACCTTTCTTTAGCATTCCAAATAGCCTTAGGGATTTTACGCACAGCATCCACCACCGCCTGGATAATAGTAAACAGCAAGAAAGTGTCAAACACAACCATTATCACACGACGAATTCTAACAAGTTACCTGGTTATAGACGAACTTTGCAGCAAGATCTCCACTATGATGAAGCAGAATTTTGACAGAGACCTTTTGCTCAGATTCCTTGGAGCCTTCACCTTTTGGTGCAGAGGCTAACCTCACAATTAATACAGTAAACGTGAACGAACCCAGCAAAAAGAAACATCGTCTCACTGAGAAGGGGAAACCAGACAATTGCTAATGGGAAAATCCACTGACCAGTGTTTGGTTTAGGGGCGAGTGTTGAAGGTAAGACTCTGTTTCCTTGAGAGTAATTAGGAACCTGAGCATAAGAAAACACACATAAGGGTTTAAACAAGATGTGAGAAGAACCCTTTACACAACACTCGAAGCAATTCGAAATTGCCCTAATCAACGCAAACAAAAAACGAATAAAGACAGTAAATTTGAAACCCAGAGATGGAATATTTCCAAGTGGAAAAAACCTCGTAGTGAGTTCGCAAGGAAGAAGAGGAATTTCGATCCTGGATGATTCTCTCAACAGCTTCTCTTTCAAGAGCGTCCATCTCTTCCATGGTCAAATCCCAGTCATCATCATCCATTTTTTTTTCTATCCCCCTACTCTAACTTCTTCTTCGCCTTTCTGAGAGAGTAATCGGAGAAACGGATGTGACCTTCAATGGCGTAATCGCTCCTCAAATCTTTCCCTCGTCTCGCTCCGTCTTCGCCATTTTTAAAACGTTTTGTAGAAAAAATGGGTTTACTTACGAAACGCCACCGTTTCAGAGCAATTACGCTTTCGGTTCGATTTTAAATATTTGGTTTATGAAATTTCATAAACCGAATGAGAGCAAGATACGGTTTCGGTTGTTTCTAACATTTCCGGTTTAAATTCAAATAATTTCCGATTTTTTATTCAAATATTTGCTTGAGTGTTATTGCTGAGAGTTCAAATTTCTCCTATCGCTGTCCGCTATCTATAGTATGAGACTTTTCCACTAACTTTAGAAGTCTACCATTATCACTGTCAATTTTCCCTAACCAATCAACCTGAGCAGAATCTGATCCATATGGATCCCATTCATAACCAATCACAGCAATCTCATACAAATAATTGGTTTGTTTCTCATCTCATTTCAAAGTAGATCGGTGGTTATACTGATTTCCTCTTTTAAAATGTGTTCTATGGAACCATATTTTCACCAAAAGCCCATCTTAAAGTAGCGATTGCCTTAAGCAAAGAAATTTTGAAACCCATGAATTATCAGAAACTTTCTTAGCTGGATTACTCACCATAAGATTAAAGGGTTCTTCGAGTAACAAATTCGGAACTTCCTTTGCCTCTAGATAAATTACACTCTGATACTTCGCTGGTGTAGTCTCATTTCCATGAACTTCTGGAACTGTTGTATTCACGCTCACCACATGCTCGACGATATTCTTGAGAGGTATGTCTAGGTTTTCCATCTGTTTCGGCTCCACGTTTCCAGCTGTCGTCTTCTGAATTATTTCACGCATCTCATGAATGCAAGTCTCCATCTCAATCACTCGACCATAAAACTGTAGAAGAAGATCAAACTGATCACATGTAAAAATCACTTTTTTTTTTCTTTTTAAAGGATAGAAAGCTCACCGTCAACAGGAACGGTGGCTCTGATACCAAATGATAAGCATGTAATTTATCATACAAGCCAGTGAATTGTTAGTAGAGAAGTGATTTGATAATTTGTTTGATTAATTGGATAAAAAGCTTGTACAATCATTGTTCTCATTTAAATATAGAAACTAGAGAGAAGAATGACATAATTGTAAATAAACATTGAAGTTTAAATGGATTTGGGCTTGAATCTTCTTTATCAAATCCGGAAGCCCAATTACTGATCTTATCAATACCGTCCCCTGAAAGATCCAAGTTATCCTCAAGTTGGAAGTCCGTAGTTGTTCTTGTTCGGGTGATATGATTCTCTTGTCTTTCTTCTTAGTCAACTCTATTTTTTTTAGAGCCATGAATGACATAGCCGTATTTCCCTTGTTGATCACTTGCCATTCTTGATCTTTTAGTCCTCTTCTGTCAGCAGTCAGCTCTAACTTGTTTCCGAGTTCTGACATCACCTTTACTAAATTCTGCTGCAAGTACCAAACTGTTCCTCCATACATAAAGCAGACCTCAACCAACCAAAAATAACGAGAAGAAGCTATATGTGCATTCAGGTGAAAGCTGAAAATGCTGACATATCTCACTTGTCATTAGCAACTTCTTGATGTATGTTTGGTGTTTATCAGATTCAATTGAACCCACCAACCTGTCTGATTTGAGAAGAGAATATAGAGTTATAACCAGCTTTGATGGCCTTGGCAAATGGAACGTCTCATCGGAAAAAGTTAAAAGATTCTCAGCATGCTCTGCTGTGAACTTTGTAATCCTAGCTCCTTGGAGATCATCCATTATAGCTCCTTGTCTCTTTAAGACCTTCAAAAGAGAACAATTATCACAATGTCTCATGTCTTGTTTCACCTTTGTTGTCTCTATTTGGCGTTTGCATACTCCAAGTTCAAAGAAGATTTCAGTTATGTCTTGTGCACCAGCTGCGTCTCCCACCCCCCCCCCCCCCCCCCCCCCCCCCCCCTACCAAGACCAAATGGAGTTGAGTATGAGTGTGCACATGAGACTATGTGAGATAGTAATCCTTCTTTTTCATCTGATTCTTCATGTTACCAATAGTGATCTTATACTTTCTTCTTGACTTTTCATGCTTTTCCAAAATGCTCTCTTTTTATGTGGCATCACTCCTCAAGGTGTAATGACAAAAAGTTCAAGAGCTTGAGTGTTATTGCTGAGACTTCAAATTTCTCTAATCTCTGCCCGCTATCTATAGCCTGAGATCTTTCCACTTACTTCAGAAGTTTACCATCACCACTATCAACTTTCCCTAACCAATCATATAACGGCCCGGAACCTGCTCGGGATAGTGGGCTGGTTTGTATCAAGGAAAAAGGATGACTTGGTTCAGATCAAAGGGACTGATCGTAAACAAGTTAAAGGAACGACTTAGTTAAGGTCGAGAAACAAGCCCGAAGGATTTAGTCGGATAAGATGAGTCTGAATAATCGAGCTGGAAGGATTAGTCGAGCTGAACAAGCTGAAGTGGCTCACTACTAGCTGGACCAGCTGACTATTATCTGAACCAGCTGGCTACTAGCTGAACCAGCTAGACTAGCTGACTGGCAGCTCAACCTAGCTTAATCAGCTGATCGAGTATTGACCCAGTTGGGCGGACTGACCAGCTATATACCGAGCTAAGGTGTGACTGAATCAGTAGTAAGTCAGCTGTGGCTGGTGGAGCTCGGCCAAAAGTGGTTATGGCCAAATAACTGCCCGTGATAAAAGGGGTGCAATCCTGACCATTGAAAGAATCAATGGCTGAGATTGGGGTATGAAGGATGGACGGTTTAGGGCAAAAGGAAATTGCCCAAAAGCTATAAAAGAGATGTAATTTCGTGGAAAATGACATCTCTCACGCCTAAGGCAATTTATCCCCAAAATAGCCTAGAGAAAATACGATGCCCAGATTCCAGTCCAGTCGCAGCCGGAGTGCTCCGACCATATCCGAGAGAAGTCCGGCATTGTCCAGGAGAAAGAAGATTTACCCGAGAGAAATTGGAGATCATCCTGGATAAACAGAGATGATCATGGTAAATGAGGATCACCGAGTGAAGAACGGGATAATGGATTTTATCTGGGAGAGAAATAGGAATGGTTGAATGTCTCGCGATGATAGTCGGTGATGCGAACGATCGATGGATCAATTCGTGACTATATCCGATATAAACGGTTAAGCTGTGATCATATCTGGGAGGAACTTCAAGAGAAGGATGTTCGTTCGAGAGAATGGAAACTTAGCCGAGAGAAAGACAAGTTATCTGAGGGATGAAGAGGAATGATCGACGTCTTGCGATGATAGTCGGGAGATGCGAATGATCGGTGGATCAATTCATGACTATGTCCGAGAGAACGGTGAAGCCGTGACCATATCCGAGAGAAGAACAAGATAAAGCGAGTTATCCGAGGAAGAAGGACGGATGGTCGGAAGGACGAATGGTCGGATGTCTCACGATTATAGTCAAATGATGTGAATGATCGGCGGATCGGTTTGTGACTATATCTGAGACAAATGGTTAAGTCGTGACTATATCCGAGAGAAACTCCGAGCGATGGATGTTCGCTCGAGAGAAAGGAGATATATCCGGAAGAGGAGAAGATTAGCCGACAGTCTCGCGGTGATAGCCGGATGACGCGTAGGATCGCCGGACCGGTTCGTGACTATCAGCAAGAGAAATGGTTATATCGTGACTACTTTTGAGAGAATATGCTCTTCGGAGATGGTGACTGAGAGAAATCATATCGTGCCGAGAGAATAGCCGAAGGGAAGAGTTTCATCCGAGAGATTATTAATGATAATCAGATTGCCGAGAGATCCTTACCGAGGGTTGTGAGATCTCTCGAGGATAGTCGGATGGAACGGCCTATGATCAGGTGATAGTTGGATGTTCTCGACTACGATCGGATGAAGCGTGGCTATTACCAAGAGAAGCATGACTATATCCAAGAGAATGTGTCTAGGACCCTAAGAAATCATGAGTAGGCACGTGGGAAGGGTTCTAGCCGGACATTGGTGGAATCAGGTGGCCATATCGAAGGATGGACCAAGGCATCGTGATACTAGCATAATATCCCGTGAATGGTCACGGCTGTTGGCGAATAGTCGTGATGGTTGAGTGAATGGCCGCGATGGTCGGATGAAATGATCTGTAGTGGACCATTTCTCACGATTCTAGTCAGGCGATAGTCGAGAACTCTGACTACAGTCGAGAGAGGCATGACTATGATCGGGAGAGATCATGAAGTAATCGGGAGAACAAGTGTACAGTTGGACTAAACCGCAAAGAGAAGGACATGGACAAACGGTCGATCCTAAGGTATGACCATAGTCAACCCATGGGGCTGAATAGCCTCTCTGATCTAACCTAGTTACGTGGGGATGGTTGGTTGAATGACTAAGGAAGGATCAGAGATGGTAGATAAGCTAAGGGAGCTGATTATACGACCATGGGGAGTTGGCACACGATCAGATATGTCTAGCTAACTGGAGTGACAAAGGAGTTAGTCAAGGTGCAACTACGCCTCATGGATATAGCTAAGGTATGGACTAGTTAGACTGTAGTTGAAATGACATAGCTAGGGTATCGACTAGACTAAGACTTGAGCTGGATGTCTAGGATGCTGACTAGTATGTAGCTGGAATGTTACTACTTGGATAGTCGCTAGCCTAGTTCTAAGTAGAAT